CTTTGATAAATAGGACGGCCTGCAGTATAGTGTTGAATTAGATAAAAATACGGACTATTGTAGTGAGTTCAAGGATCTTGGGCTGATTAAGGAAAAGGTATGACCACAAAGTGGCAGTAGCACACAACAAGCCTTATTTGGGCAGCACATGGACAGTTTTACATGAGAGGAAAAGTCTTTAACAGCAAAGGCCTTCTGAGACCATAACGTGGAACCGCTACCCAGAAGGAGAAGAGGGTAAGGAACTCCTGCGGGAGAGGGGAATTGGGAGGGGACTTACATGTCTAGGTGATGCCACTCAGCAACAGGGTAGGGAGTCTCTGGGTCAGTGAGCTCTGAAAGACAGCAGTGGCCTCAGGCCTTTTACATGCCGGAAGCAGTTTTATGGGGTATTTAAAGCAGGTAGGCTCTACATGGCTAAAAATACACTTATTTGGGCCATGTCTAAGAATTTTGAGCAGGCTTCTGAGCTAGTGATCCTAGCCTAATGTGAAGAAGTACACAACATAGGGGGCAATATACAGGGGCCATCTTTGGCTTTTTAAAATAACATTTATATAACATTTGTATAACAACCATGCCAAACGTATCTTGTCATTTCTAGGAGCCCTCCTTTTATATAGTGAAGAAGAAAATCTTTGGTATGGTCTTGAAGCTATCTAGAATACCCAAAAGATAGGTTAAAAAGACATTACATTTTTTGTTTTTTCTTAAATTTGGGACTTGAATTTGTAAAAACAATATCGAAAATTGTCAGAGGAAGCAAAATATAAGCAGAAGTCATAGGTGTCTTCTAAGTAAAAAAAGAAATAACACAGGCACAAGTAACATTCAATATTAAGAATACCAAATTTTGTAAGAAGTCAATCACAAAGAAGAAAAAAGATTCAGAAGCATGATAAAGGGAATATTTTGTGATATAATGTGATTATATTTGTGATTTTTATTCTTTAGGCAAAATATATTGAAGGCACAGAATGGTTTTTCATCTGTTAAATTAAGAACAGCCTATGTACTCAAAGATCAATTTGTCATT